CTCGAACTCCCGGAGTGTAACCCTCTCTTGAGCTGCCACCTCCCAATGGGTGTACCCGTTTAGACAACGAGTCACCCGTGCTGCCAACTCTCCTCGTGCCCTGCAGCTGCTCTCCACCTCTGCCAGCTGCATTTCTAATTCTGCACGTTGTGCCCTCAAATCCGAGCACTCGGTTTGCAAGTTGCGCAACAACTCCTCATCCTCCTTGCGGGCTCTTTGACTTTCTTCTAAGGCGCGCGTCTGGCGCGCAAGCTCGGCTGCTAGGACTTTGTTCTGTCTCCGCTCCTCCTGCAAGTCCGACTCGATCTTTGCCCGTATTAGCTCGGCCTCCGCCTGACTCTTTGTCGCCGCATCCTCCTTCTGCTGCTGCAAGGCTTGGTATAGCTTCTGGGTGACCGCCAGGTGTTGTCGGAGGGCGGTGTTCCTATCCACATATACTCCGCACCTAGAGGCCCACCTTGCCACCTTGCTCCTCGTCCTTCGCCTGATTGTCTCCACATAAGACTGCGGTTTTAAGGCACTTGCGTATTTGGATGTCTTGCGATCCAGATATCGCAGGAGTGGAACTATCTGTTCGCACAGCACCCCTGTTGGCGTTTTCTGCACCGAATCCTCTTCTTGCTCTTCCGAGCTCGTCTCATCCTCAGTCTCGAGGATCTCAGTCGCCACCGAATCCCTTGGCGACTCCCTGGAACTGTGGCGCGCAGCAGCTTCCGCTGCGGCTGCTGCTCTACTGCCTGCTAAAATATCCAGGGCAGTGGGAGATCCCACTGCTTGAGCCCCTGTTCCGGCTTGATCTTCGGTTTGTGAAGGGGTCGACGCCGCAGTGACTTTTGTCACTCTTGATCCGCCCGCTTCTGCTGCCTGTCCTTCCGGCGCAATCTGCGCGGAAGGTGTCCTTGCTGAAGGTGCGTCCGCCGAAGGCGTCCGCACACTCGTCGTTGGCCCCATCCGTCTCGCAGTCGGCGAATCCGGCTGACTCTCTGTTGTCCGACTCGCAGTCGGCCGACCAGCAGTTGTCCGACTGGGAGTCGGATACACCCTGCGCGTCTTGACTCCACTTGGCCTGCTTGCTGGTGGCGTTCTTCCAGAAGTGCCTTCCGCCGAAGACGACCCTCTGAGGATTGTTGGCTCGTCAGCCAAACTCTCTTCTGCTTCCGGCCTGCTGTCCGGTTCAACGCACCGTTCAGTTGGCCTTCCTTCCGCTTGTCGACCTTCAGTCATCCGACTCGCAGTCGGCCGGTCGTCAGTCCGTCCATCTCCTCCCGAAGGCCGTGGTGCCTTCTGTGCAGAGGTTTCTACCGTCTTCCCTAGGACCTGAGCGATTATCTCTTCCTGTGTGAGATTCCGCCGGGTCGGAGTTCGCCTGGTCTCCTCAGTAACAGTTGGCATTTTGCGTGCCCTCTGTTTTGGTCGACTGTGAGGCTCGGGGGTGGGCCGACCACGAGTCGGCGCAGCTGGCACTTCCGGCTGCCTGTCCTCAGGTCTCTCATCCCACTTCCGCTTGCGCGGAATGCGCTCACTTTGACGTTCTTCTGCTGCTCTGGCTGGAGCCGGAGCCGGAGGCGTACTGGCAGGTTCCTCGTCCGGATCCGTGTCTACTTCGGCCTCCCTCGAATATCTACCTGGATAAGTCCGGGTCAGCTGCGGAAACCGAGTTTTCTCAGCATTCGTCAAACATCCCATCGCCCGGTAAAACACGATTAAGTAAGGCGATAGATGATTGAGCGTTCCTCCCCTCTCTTCTTGCGCATGTTGGCGCGTCACCTTCCACAGGAGCCGTGCCCAATGCACCGGAGCTCTTGACAACACTAGCTCCACGAATTCTACCTGCCAACCATGCATGTAAGCGGTCTTGGTCGGCTGCAATATCTGCAGCAATGCCGTCGCGACATTTCTCCGCAATCGATCCTTGTAATCCCGTGTCCGGAAACTGTTCTTGGGATGTCTAGCTACCTTGAAGAGCTCATTGTAAGAGACTTCTTCCTCCTGGGACACTTTCACGCTGTCGGCCTCGAAGAGGAGATCCCCTTCCTCGCCGGCACACCTGCCCAACACCTGCGCCCAATTGCAAATGTCCCATCTCTCTGGGTGTGGGCGAAATCCGCGAGAAGGCTTGTGTCTCTCTTGCAGATACTCGCGCACCATCTCCGGACATGTCCAATTCCACCCCCAGAGGAGAAAATCGAGCTTCAGCCTCGACAGCACATCTTGGAATGCGCGTAGACCGATCTGTGGCACCCTGAGTGGAGACACTCGCAGCTGGGGAACCTTCGACATTGCGTTGCCTGCACACACAAACGTTCTCCCTTTCGCTCGCTCTCTCACACTCGCGACTGCGCGTCGGTCACTCAAGCACTGACGGCTCACTCTCTCTGCGCTCGTTCAAGATCGCTACTCCCAATTCTTTCAAGGTCCGCCAAGCTCCTTGCGCAACTCGGCTCCGCACTCTCTACTCTCACTGCAGGTCGCTCCGCCCTTGCGCGTAATCTTGGAACTGGAAATTGCAAAGTCAAGAATGAGAGAATGAGACTGGAGCGCAGTCTTTTCTTCTCCGATTTCAAGAACGTCCAACGTTCTTACTGGTTGCAACGTACGCAGCCGGCTATACGGCTTAACGGTTCGCCCTTTGCATGCGCGAATTCACGTCTCCGCATTGCGCGCATTCGCATGCTTAAACGTTGAATTCTCCCGCCGCCACCACCTTTCGGACTCGAGTCCGCTGCAGGGTATACGTCGGCCCTGTTGTCTTTTCCTAACCCGCCCTTCTCCGGAAGCGTGTCGCCGCTGGTGCGTTCATTATCCGTCGGCGCCTTGCTGGAGGCGCACATCCAGTCGGATCGAATTACGCCGGCGCGCAGTCGTACCGCCTATTTTGTCTTTTATGCCTCGTCCGTTGCTGCCGGCGCATATCCGCCAGCGCAACTCATGCCAGCGCATCCGGCCGTCAGCGCCACGTCGGAGGCGTACATCCGACCGGCGCTTTCCTTCCATGAACAGCCGCCAAAGGCGCTTCCGACTCTGAGTGGGTTTCCTCCTATGAGCGCGTGATTCCACCGAAGGCGCATCGCCGAGGGCGTACGGGAATCCTTTCCGGCTGTGAACCCTAGCGCGAACGGCGCATGTCCGGCTACGAGTTTTCCGACGCTCATAACTTCTCCATTCCTGATCCATCTCCGACGCTCTTGGACTCGTTAGAACGAGCGTCCCGCGCTCTTTCTAAGGCAACTTCAACCAACTGGATCTACCGTGTATCCCGATTGTTATGAAGGTTTTCCCTTTCCGCGCTAGCGGCGCTTCGCCGAAGGCGCACTCATGGTCGGATGCCTTTAGAGGTCCGGGCCCTTCTCCGGACGTCTTTAGTAAAACCTCCTCCTGAGGTGTCTGCGCCGGAAGCGTATCTTCCTTATACGCTAGAAGCGCGTGAGTAGAGACACCTCAAAAAGGAGCTTTTGCCGAAGGCGCCGAAGACGCTGGCGTTGGTACATCCGACTACGTGATTCTTTGTGCCCTCGTGACGATCTCATCAATCCACTCTATTTAGCGTACCCTTCTCTAGCTACAACCACTGCTTTGGTACTAGTTTTCTAAAATTGTTTAAATTCTGCAAAAAAAACAAAAAGTGTGTTACCACAGTAAGTTTTAACATTTAAGGACTTCTGGGTTTTAGATCACGGACCCACTGCAAGCAATCGGAGAGAAATGATGCTCTACTTCAGCTTTGGCCGTTCTTTAGCAGCTGAAGGACCAACCTTTTTAGCATGTGTAATTTGTGGGTGTCCGTCAGAAAGTGGGAAAGAAAAAGCCTGATCAAATGTGGTGGTCTCTTACTGTCTTTCAAATGCTTGTGTGGAGGTGACATTGCCGGTTGCTGGAACTCATCCATCGTATATGTTGTCTAATATTTTTTGTAAATTGTTGTGTATAACGTTGTACAGGTTACCCCCAATACTACTCGGTTAGAAAAGAAAGCTCTGGACTCATGAAAAACAAAATTATCCGTCGTGTTTTAAAGGACAAATAATAGGATGTTTCTGGACTTTGTAGCCGTAGAGGAGTAACACTTCTTAGAAATATATTTTCAGATCAGGGTAACGATTTATAGGGTAGTTGGTAGTTTTATATTAGTGGTCAAATGAGCATTTTGATTTTTAGTAATGGTCTTTGGTTTCTTCAGATTTGTCTGAATGTTTTCAGTTTTCGGATCATGTAGCAGCCAGATTTTTGTCATTGAAAAGGAGTAGGTAATGAGGATGTTACTTAACTTACTCGAGTAAGATATTACTCAAGTAAACCAGCAGATCACGAAGTAGGATTATAGTGTACAGAATCCGACCAAAAGTTAGTTAGTTTGTGTATTAAATCATCTCAATTTTCAGATGGTTCTTTGGGAGAAGATTTTGCAGGCAAAATTTTGGCATGCTTATAGTAGGGAGTTGCCTGAATTACCAAAATTAAATTGATTTAGGCGCAACAGGAAAGGTTAGTTTAGGCCGGGCCAAGTGAATGTCTATCCATTCAACTCAATGAAAAAATTCTATAAGATTTTAGATTCACATTCGTAAATTGAAATCATCTGCTTTCCATATTCAAAACATCAGTCACTAATGGGGATTCCAACTTCGGCAAAGTTAAAAAATCTAGTAACCTTTCAGGGTGCGATAGTATATTTTCCGCAAGGATTGACTGTTTCGGACATTGTTCCCGGACATTGCAGAGAGTGATACAGTCATCAATTCCCGTGCAAATTTTCTAATAATGAAATAACTGAAGATACTCACATTATGACATCACTCTATCTTTTACATGGAGAAATCACAGAAATGAGATTCGAAGGACAGCTTAGAAGAAGGGAACCGACCCGAAACGGAGAAATATGGACCCGACTAAGATCTGAAATCACATGGGGGTGGGGGGGATTTGGAATACCCTATTGGAAAAACACTTAATACTTGATCTGTTTCGAGTAAATCAGAGTACAAAGTAGACAGCTTTTGTAAGCAAGTCGGTTTTATTACACCAAGAACAAATGTCCACTTTAAACAATGGAGTTGCTAATACCACCAATCAGCCCAGCAGAGAGACACAAGGGAAAGAACTTCCGACTTCGCAGCGGAACACGATAAGGAGGACGGTTGCCTGGCTGGGTAAAGCTGGCGATTATGTAGAATTTTAACACCTGGGCTAAGTGCCTGCACTTTTCTAGAAAGTGAGTGATGTTTATTCACTAGTTCTACGTTCACTAGTTCTGTCAATTAATTTGAAGGTACGTAAAATTGACAACACATTGTCCGAAACACCACAAATCAGCCCAAAACGAACATGATGGAACGGACTTGGCCCTTGACGAGGAGGCTCTTTCATGGTTCCCTTCTCGAGTACGTGGGCTAGCTGGGCGAGAGTGTTGCTAATGTGGTCAACGTGGTCTAGTATGGCCTCTGGCCAACGAAATTACCTGGAGGATTGTAGCTGCACACGGTGATAGTTCCTCCTGTGGGACACCTGGACGATGCACAACCGAGCTTCGTCGTTTTCTTCCAGACAACCTGCAGTCGAGAAACCACTGATTACACTCTGCCAGAATTGACAGAAAGTTCTTAGACAAACTCTGATCGTGATCAGAGTATGTTCCGAGTCCATGTAACTACAAAGCATTGTGTGGAAGAGGGGATTAGTGTACCTGAGTGTAAATCCGACACGAATTCCTTGTATTTGCTTTGCAGGTGTTCGATGCGTGGTTGTAGTTCTGCTTCTCTTTGACAAAGGCATGAACTGCAGCCAAGGGAGTGCTAATCCGGCTAGACCAGTACATGTTCTCACCGTATGGGCCATTGGAGGTCTTCAGCTGACAGTTGTTACGAGCTTACTTGTTGGCCCAGTTCTGGGCATACTTGGCCAGATTCCGGTCCCATGACAAGTTGGGGACTTTGACAGCCTTACGAGCTTTGTTGTGAGGATCCAAAAACTGTCTCTCCCATGATAGAGCAGCGCTTGCTATTCCTGCAGTGGCAAGCAGAAGGAACAAAACTGCTGTCGGTCTCGAGGCCATCACTGCTATTCTGAAGAATCTGTTTCTCCTGCTCTGCTGCTGCTTCTTCTTCTTCTCTTCTGATGATTCAAACTGAGGAGGCGAAGTTGCCAGTGATCTAAGCTATACCTCTTATATATTGACCAGCAGACTCCTCATATCTCGGCCTTTCATGTGAAAATCCAAGTGTCATATTGGTCAGAGAACTGTAGACGAGAAGAGGATCACAAGACTCCAAGACCGGAGATCTTGCGCCGTTTCGAGCTGTCTTGCAAGGAATTGGCTCGTGTCCGAATTAGGCTCCCCGCGAGAAATGGGCTTCAGATTCTGGAACGCCGAAGACCGTATGCTGGACAACTGTCAGATCGTGCATTCATGGCGAGTTCGACATTCTCTCCAATTTTTTTTCTCTTAACGGTTTGCCTCTTCTCGACACCTGGTCTGGAAACAGTTTTTGCATCAGACTATCTGCTCATGATCGAATATTTGCATCTGCCGAAGGAAATGACTACTATTGGGCGAATCCTGCCTATTCCATCCGCTGCTCTCCAGCTTCCCTCGCACGAGGCCGATTAGTCGGCACCTAGCGGCACAGCATTCTCACCGACAAGTGAGTGTACCATGGTGTGGAACGCTCTGTTGATCAGATTGGCAATCCAGACCGGGTCTGTATTGCCAATGGTGCCGGTGGCGAACATAGAGTAGAAAGCAGCCAGCTGAAGATCATGCGCATGAACAAAGAAGAGGATGAGGAGTACGGCTGGCAACTAGTACCTGCTCCTGGTACTAATTGTAGTGGTACTCGTCCTTTTCTGATGGTGTGCTCTCCTGGACTATGGATATGTGAGCATGATGACTGGGAGGATTTTGCGGGGTTTAACGATTTCGTCTGGATCGTGACTGCTTGACTTAGTCGTCGTGTGATGTGAAAAGTCTTGACTGTCAGAGTCAGAGAACTGGTCTTCAGCGAGGAGTTGATGTCGTGCTCCTCAGCTTGCTTACATTCAAATGGAAGGGAAAGAAGATACCCTGTGAATGAACACAATGTAAAAGAGGAACAGTTTGTGAGTTGGAAGAGACTATGGGAACCAAGAAGAGGGCATTCAGTAATTTCAAAATACTATAAAAACGTTTGTTGAAAATCCTGTCAATTCATTTTTTGGTAAAACGTCATGTTATCGATAAGAACTCAAAATGAGGTTGTCTGCACCTGTATTCTCCTTTCAAGACATGGGCTTGAAATCCATCAGGACACAGAGCCTCTTGAAACGCAGCGCCAGATGCTTGAAATCAGACGACCAGTATGGACCAGAAGCAGCAAATTTAAAAAAAGATGTCTTGAGAAACTTAGAGCAAGCTAGAGCAGAAACTGGGGACCGATGGAGCCTCAACTTCATCCCTGGAATGGGTCGTAGGTCAAAAACTGTCGAACTTCGACTTATGGACAGCGTAGCGAACCAGTTTTTTCCCTGTGTTCATCTCGAGGAGCTTTTCGAACTAGACAGTGAACACGTGAACAGCATTGTTACTTCATAGTAACAATGCTCTTAATACAAGCATTGTTAATTCATATTCATACCCGTACTCTTGGAATCCATTCTGTTCCAGTCTTGATAACAACAGTGTGATTTCTTCTGTTCAGTTCACACTGCAATGCCTTGGATGAATCATGAAAAACTGAGAAGACAAAGCTTATTGCCCGGCGAAGGAACGGAGGCAATTCCGTTTTCGATGATGGAGTGGAACCAACAAAAGAAAGTCTCCTGGCGATAGTACAATAGAGCACGACACGATTGAGGAGTTTCTGAAAGGATGAAAGAAGCACCTCTTGTAACTAGAAAATCACTAGGTAATCGAAGTACTTGGTGTTCTGCGAGCCATCATGATGCATGCAAGTAGAGTCAAGAATCAACTTCCCCATGTGCACCGTATGGATGAAAATCTGAAATTTCGAATCTCGTACTTATGATAGTAAATCAGGAGATAAGCTCCATCAAGCGCATTCACTCTCAAAGCGAAGTCGTTTGACTTTCACCAGTTGTACCCGCATCAGTTGAACGGCCGTCTGATCTCGTTCATCGGAATGGAGTAAAAAGCAAGTGAATTTCCAATAAACTTGTTCACTCGTCACTTCTTTGTCATGCACGCAGTGTGGGTGGGGCATTACGCACGAAGTTCACTGACGACTGAAATCCGGGAGGTGACCTCAAGTTGGAATTATGGAAAGCTGCTGTACCTAGAGTTAAAGTTCACCATAAGAATGTGCGTAACCAGCTGGGCTATACCCAAACAAAATCTCCATCTAGATTCGAAGATCTAGTACAGAATCGAGAAGGTTGATAAGCTTCAAGGATGTAACAAAGCTTTTTTCTCTTTACACAGTAGCTTAGTGTCATACCGAGCGACCCAAAGTTCTAAAATTGACATATCTTCAGTCGTTGGTCATTCAGTCGTTCTGATGACTAGTCGTGGAAACAGTCAGAATTGTTGCGATCACTAGATATGAAATGAAAAACTTGTAAATGATCACCAGACATGACGCAGACAAACTAATTGCGAAAGTACTGAGGAGAAGTTTTTCAATTCTGATAAAGTTGGGTGATGTCGATGAGATTCAGAATGGAGGAGGAGAGCTGGAGGACGATCCAGAAAGGAGGTGATAATACAGAAGTTGGACATTTAAAGCGACATTTAAAATCTGACACTATCATGTTCATGCAGCTTATCTAGATGCCATTTATGAACGTGTGCACAGGATGAGGAGCTGAAATCTGAAGAACGAAATCATCAGCAAAAGCTTTCTTGTCGATCATATGAAATGTCAGACACAGCCTTCATCTTGGTACGATCGGAACAATCTCTCTTGACACCAACTGTGGACGAAGATAGTCTGCGAACAAGTATAACAGGACTAAGCGCTGGGTCACTGAACTTTCGGAATTCGTAGATCCTCCTTTGTGGTCAAAACCTGATAGTTTAATGATGTCTTCAGCCTGCTATTATCTGGTGTCTCATTTCAAGTTTTATTGCAAAGGTTAGTCACAACTACCCTCAATGCTTGAGAAAACTGTGTCGAGGCTGATATATGCTCTTTATAGTTGCTCTGGATGAAAATATTTGTACTGCAGGATCTCACCGAAGAAATAGGTAATCCGTTGATTGGATCGAGTAGAATTCACATGTTCTGAACTAAAGATTGAAAATGATTCAACAGAATGAAATTCAATCTAGAACGGATCGGAATTGATTTCAAATCAATGTGTCTCTATTGACTTTCATACTTTTGAGTCATCTGGCATGCCAATAAAGGAACGTTTTATGGGCACAACTCGATTCGCAGTCATTGACATCCATCCGATGACATTTGGATCCTTCCCTTATACTACAGATCATATTCATTGTAAGGAAGGGTCTGGGCGTTCTCCGTGGTCCTCCTGTTGCATGAGTTTCATGTCTCGAGACATGTGATTTAGCAAGCGACACGGGAGCAGTAATTTAGATTTTGAGCTCCGATCGGGATTTATCAACTTGTTCAAGCAGTGACCTAGCTCCACTTCACTTGAAGCCAGCTTTCATAATTCTGGAATAAGCGTAATCTCACAATCCCGGTAAGAGTTGCTGAAAAGCAGGAACATCATGTTTTTCCCGGGAATAGAAAGAAGCATGGATCACACGTCCATTGGTGTCACACTGCGAGCTCGTATCCCACGTATTTAGAAAGGCCGGATGTGGACCAAGCTTACATCCTTGATCGGCGTCTTGCTCGTGACAGTGCATGTTTCAAGAGGATAACTGAACTCAGTGGATCTTCAGAGGATTTAGTGAGTCAATACATGTAGGGAATATCTACATAGAGGGAGGTTATTTTGTGAATCCCGAGATTTGTGGTCCAGCAAGAGGATAGCACAAGTACTCTCCTGCCATGCACCATCGAACGAAGGATGGATCGATCCACAACTATTGCAGAAGACTGTCAACTCAGTGTACAGCGTCAGTTCAGCAGCAAATGATGCCCTCGCAGAATCAAAGGTCGGCTACGACTCTTGTCCGTACTCATGACAAAATGTAACCTTCAGAATTTCGTGAAGGGTCATCTGGTCGTGGTTACTGGTCCATCGCCGTGCACGATGAATGGATAGATCAGTGATCAGGAGACTCTGTTACAATTTTCACGGCGAGATCAAGTGATATTACTGTAATCTTATGTGATGCAGAAACTCAGAAACATGCTCTGTACATTCGCGTGGACGGCTGCAGGCCTCCATTGGCAGAACTCGACGCAGATCATGGGCTCCTATAAAATCAGAAGGTTCCGCTCCCAGCTCCTGCTACTTGGGACTCGATTCTAAAGCTGTATATGTCTTGATAGACAATTGTCTTAATCACGAGCTGGATTGTACATGCCACGCCATCTGAACGTCATATGCAAATTTTCCATCAGATTCTGCAACTTTTGCAAGCCTGTAACTCGGACTTTCGATGGTAGAGAATGTGCCTTGCCAATCTTCAGCCGTGAGCACTGAGGCTAAAACGATACAAAAATTTTACATTTAGAGAACGAGTCTATGTCAGACTGCCTGCTGCACGCCATGAGAAATAGATGCTCACTGTAGATCTTGTTTATATCAGGTGTGGTAAGCTTTAGGAGATGTAATCCATGTAGAGAATGGATCAGGTTTAGAGCACAGGCATTGACAATGAACACGCATAGCATGCTTGAAGAAGCCACGTGATAGATGACAAGTAAGTTACACCAGGCAAAACAGACGCAGAATTTTATGACATTATTATCCACTGAAGAGATTTTGAGTATTCTATTCCGAGCAGATAGTTTATGGCTGTTCGATGAGAATGCCTAAAAATTAATCTGCAAGCTTTGTTAAGACTTTGTCATCAGTCAGCTCTAAAGCTTATTGTTCATGAGCCCTCCAAGATTTTCAAGCTTCGCCATCTGAACTCCCATTGCTTCGGCAGATTAGACACTGGACGGGCTGCGAACTAGACTCAATTTTGCTACGCTGGTTGGACTCTAAGAATATTGGCTGTTGTGATTTATCCAGCGATTTAGAATTCCAGCATTAGCGGCCCACCGACTGGCGTGTGACTCGCGGTTTATCCACTTGAGACTGGGTTTAAGTAATTTTTAGGCCTGTGCTGCGATACACAGAATCGTGTGACAAGATCCCAAACTATCAAAACCCGATCGCCCTGACCAGAGCTACTCACACCGACCAAAAGTTTTTCAACGGGCAGTCTGAACATAGCCCGAATTTCCAACGCTTTTGGAATTTCGTTCGATAGCACTGCTCTGTCTGCCATCGCCGCCGCTCAGGGTCTCGAGGATTGCTGGCGGAAACTGTCTTAGCCTCGTGTCCAAGGCACCTTTGCCAAGTGATCAGCGGACGTGACAGCTAGCTCAATAATTTCTACGCATTTGAAGAGCGGGTTACTCCACTAAAACCTTGACAAGCCTCCAGTTGGCGCTCGACGAGTCTCGGGTCGAGTAATGTACATCAATCAAAAAGTATGAAAGCTCCAAATAGGTGCTTTTTGGGGGGTAATCTTGAGGCGAGTTGGGTTAGTTGGGCTAGCAGTGATCCCCATGAACGTAGTAAACCAAAAGGTTCACTATCTTTTACGCAGCCAACCTCATCCTTTTCAAATGAAGAACACGTGGATGCACATCACGTGAAAATTTGTCCACTCTCTCTTCCCAAGTGTTCGGGAGAATGAATACATCAGAAGTTCCTGATATTGGTGACCATTACGTGGCCTTTGTTTGGTGAACGAGACCTTCTAATGAGATTCTTGTGGCGTTGAACAATGCTTGATGTCTGAAAAATCTCCAGTCATTTACAGCCTTCTTTATGTGAATGTATCTGTCGTAAGAACGAGAATTCGCGCGTGCACCATATTTCAGAGAATAATCATATATGCAAACAATTATATTAGCTAGGTCATAAACTTGAGGTTTTCATGTGTTTGTGAAATACGAACTCTATTCATCACTTTTTTCATGAATCTCATATTTTTGTCCTCTAGAGAAACATTATTCCAGTAGTACGTACAAAATACACATTTTTATTATCAAGACTATATCCCGAAAGCAATATCACTTTAGTTTTTTCAATCTACTTTAAGAAAATTCTTCATGATTTTCTACGTTGAATTGATTTTAACCCAATATGGTTCTTCTTTAAATACTCATCTTTTTCTTTGGTTTCAAAATAAACTTCTGTCTATTTTCGATATGAAGATTCCATGTGCCTTTGGAAGACTTTTAACTTCTGAATTTCGTCTGTATCATATATTGGTTCGTTGTAGATTTTTGTAACTATTGAGTGTTGAGACTTGCTCCACGCCCACATACGACTGACCATGAAATCCTCAAACTCCTGTGGCTGTTATTGACAAGCAGAACATATGTCCAATAGTGAATGTTGCAAACAGGGCAAGTAATCAACCTGAGTTTAGCGAGAACGATCTTCATTTTTCCATGTTGTGTGACTATATCAATCATTCCATGCTGTACAAGAAGCTTATCTTGAAGCGATATATTCTAAATGTGACTCCTTGATATTTATATTGATCACTGTGAATTGATAGCTTCGGATTTTTTTTCAATGCAATGAAAAATCTGGTAACACCAAATAGTCTTATACTGACCAGAGGATAAAAACAAGGTTTCTCCGTAATATGTTACATTGCGCACAGAACAGAAATTGTCCTTTCTGTAATCAATCTCAGCACAGTCGAATTCGATCGCCTCGTGTCATCTCTTCCGATAATCGAAACGTTCTAGTTTCTATACACGATAATGATTTGAGTCCTTGACCTTGTAAGTGGCACTTTACAAGAGGAAGTAAAGTATGCATGTCAAGATTGGTGTCGATCAGCTCCAGCAACGTGAGCAGTTGATGCTCAAGTGCATGAATGTGGTGGACGATGAACTTCGGATCTTGCGCCAGCATGACAAACTTGTTCCTCTCCTCAAGTTCCTATATTTAATCTGTGCTTCTACAGCTTGGTCTCCATGTATGTTTAGACTGTGACATACCATAATAGAACACGTTCCACAGATCAAGGAGATTGTCGTATGGTTAGAGTCTGAACATGTAGGCTCCACTGTTTCCACTTGAGTGAGCACTGACTTCACAACTCGAGCTGTCATATCAAAACATTCACTCACGGCGTTTGGTGAGCATTGGTTAATAACTGTCCGATACTGCAACGCATTGAGCTCGTGAAACTCGAGACTGAAGGAAGTTCATGGTTGCAGCTGTTATCGTCCAAGTTATTCCCTCAAGTCCCTCTTTCGGACATTTGTAAAATGTTGTTTCCTTTGCGTGGGAATATGCATTCGTGCACATTCATCCCTTCTACACTCAAAATGTATATGATACACAAATGTTAATAACGTAGAAGAAAAAATATAGCTGGTTTGTGTTTACACGCTATTATATTATATAACATATATAAAAACATTCATCCATATTCCGATTTTTTTCTACATTTTTTATAATCTCTTTCTATTCATACCTGCTTTGATGCGCACAATTTAAGCAAATTCCGTTTAAACACTCTCCTATATCTAATGGAATATTAATAACACCTGTGAACATTAATATCACCTGTAATAAAATATAAACCTGTAAGCCTTAAAACATTGCAATACCTGAATCTTCATAAGAAATGCATAAAATTATTCAATCGATTAACCATTTTATTTTTAAGTCATGCGATAATTTTTCCTACATCAGATTATTATTTTTTGAAATTCAATGATGTAATATTTCATCACTAGATCATCTATATTAACTAACATGTAATATCCAATGTATAGGGGATGCGAGCCTTGTAAGAGGCTGAAGTGCTATTTATAATTCTTTAAATGATTTTCTCATGATTAAACATAGAGTTTGAAAAGTTCCAAATAACTCATTTATGTAATAACTTCGCATTTGGGGTTGGATGATTTATCTAGCCCTTGAACTCTATACGCATTGAAGCTATAATACACTACAATTCCTCAAGTCGACATATTCACTAAAAATACAAGGTTTTCAATGATAATTCCTACTTAAAAAAATGACAGAACTACATTGAGACAAAAGACATGAAATAGACAACCCAAAACCAGATCCAGATCAATCCGGATCTAAAACTCCAAGTTAACTCAACAAGTTCTACGCAACTAGTGAGCACTCCTGAACCCTAAACTGTCACAAGTTGCATCGGGCTTACATAGAACTCAACCCTAGACCTTGTAACCCTAATTCCATAGAAAAGTTTCAAAAGTACCTCTTTGTTGTATATGTTCTTGACTTAACCTACCTTAATAATTCCGCATTCGCTTTTCCGCTATGTACATGGTACTGCGGAAGGCAAAGCTAACTTATTATGCCGGAAGTATTGCCTTTCAGTGACGGCTGGTTCAAATCATTAGATTTTTTGTCATGTTCGCAATGCTGTCGTTTACTGACAAAACGTTCGGATCGGATTTTCTTGAGTTTGTGGAATGCGGACGCAGAAAGCTTAGAGACGCTAGGAACCGCACGTGTACACCCAACGATTTGAACTGAATTCGGACAGTTGTCTTAATACCGGGGTTTACCTCAATCCATGTAACTTTTATAATATAAGTCATCGCATTACTGGCGTTTTTCCCTGCCTTCATGCTGTACCATATAATCCGGCTTCGAAACGACAACAGCGTGATGATGTAAAAATTTCACGCGTGCCCGCGTGCGCAGGTGCTCGAGATACGTTTTTCTTTTCATTCACCTGTTCAAGAGGAAGGTGTCTTGTAGTACTAAAATGTAATTAATACTTTTGGCAAGATACTGCATTTCTTTTCATTCGACAGTAAGTTTAGAGAGGACGATATTGGAAAATGACAGGAGTTAGAAAAAGACCACAGAAATGAATCTCGGTTGTCAAAAAAAAAAGAGTGAAGCATTTCTTCACTCTTCGGTAAGTCTTCGCCCAAGGAACTATCTACTCTACAAAGCCAAACCTACTTACGATCTAGGTGACCTTCTACTTTGCAACTGACTACTTTGTGAAGCCAAGATTGCTTACACTCTATTGTATACCTTCAACTGGAAATTCCACTAACCTGCACTAATCAGGGAGAGATTATTGCGTTTATTTGTACAGGCTATGCTCTCTATTCCTACTAGGATCATAAATCCTGTCCTGGCCTCTCTATGATACTATCGCCCCTGTTGCTAATTCGTTATGGACGTCCCTCCTGCAAGTTGAGCTTGTGGACAGGCACGCATTGTGAGCAACTGAGCCTTAAGAGTTCGCTATCGATCGATCTAGTCGTCATCATATGTTACAACTGTAAAATGTTTGGTACAAGAATTTGATTATTCCCCTGAATCTGGTAGGGAACGAGGTCCTACATTATAAACTAAAAATCCGAACCTTGGCAGCCAACTCTGCAAGATGCAATTCCAATTGCCGGTGTCTAGACTATGATGCTCATCGTGTCTAACAAGGACGAGGCTTGACTTGTGAAGTGATGCAGATGGAGAACTGATTATTCAGCCGTCGTCGCAGACGACCACGTGCCAATTACAGCAAATGCAGAGGCCGCCACAATGATGAGTACATTGGTCATGAGGTGGGCCTTCGACATCGTTCTTCTGTGCAGAATGAGATAGAAGACGCAAGGAAAAATGACAGACATGCCTATGGAAATTGCGGATCCGATGAACGACAGCGCTAGGCCGAAATAAGGCACCCCGATGGCGACGCAAAGAATGAGGAAGAGAAGGCCGAGTCTAATGACAGATCCGGCGGCCACGATGGTTTTGGGACCGAAACTGAAGGGGAGTAATCCTTCCAGTTCTAGTGCGATGGGTGCTATGCCGAGCGAAAATTTGGACAGAGGAGTCACCACCGTGGTCCAAAGCACGACGGTGCCCACAGTCAGATCTCTTGGAATGTTCAACGTGATTAGTGCAAGTGTTTGGTCTCCAAACATCACGGCTCCCATCACTGCGAGTCCTCCGTAGACGATTGTCGCTATGGTGAAGCTCACTAACAGCATCTGCATCGAAAACTCCCCCATCAGGGAGTACAGATCGTTAGGACGATGAGCATTAAGGCTGTCGCCGGTGTCCACTGATGGCGTTGTCCTTGGGAAAGAAAACAATATCCAATTAATTGAATCAAGCTGCGCATTGCAGTCACATTGCTCCAAAGTTCCCAAATTATATGAGCAGACACAGAGTTTCTAATGACTTCCAGTACTGCATTTCAAAGTACGACGAGCATGTGTCTTTCAGCATGAGAGAATGGCAGATGTGTGAAGATTCGAGAATCCGTACCGATGTGAATCTTGACGGATCCTTCATGGAGCTGTAGATGTTTGGGATGATCACTTGCCCCGAGTAGCAGAAAGCGTACAGTCCAACAATTAAAGGCCATTTCCCGAATTGAAGAGCTGGAATCGTATGAGTGAATCCAACACCTCCGAACACGCCTGTCCATACCACGGCTCCCACAACGACCAATGACGACACGACGCCACCCAAGGAGAGGTAGGACACGAGGGCGAGGTCCCGCATCAAGACCGTGGGAGAAACAATCAACAGAGAGACGGTCAGTAGAAATTGGGATGGCTTCAGGTGCAACCCAAAGATTTGTATGTCCAGAGCTGGAAACAGTTGAGCAAGATTGTCTCCGATAGAGATGGCGAATCCGATCAAGCAGGCGAGGATTTCGACGTACAGGCAGAGAGTGAAGATAAATCTCCCTCTCATCCCAATGGCTGATCCGGCAATATCCTGGTAGCTTAGAAGCTGTGGATTTAGCTTCATACACTTTCCCAGTAGATATCCCGTGTAGCAACTCATGGCTGCGAAGACGAGGAGGAGACTCAAGCTCGTCCACCCTCCCTGCTGAGCTGCGTAAGGTACTGCTAGCATGCCCATTCCTGCAACAAGTGCATGATTGACAGAATGTTTAGATGCGGGCTGAATCCAATTTCTCTCGAGACGAGCAGTCTCAGACAGTACCACCTCGCCAACCACATGCAACATGTGCACTGATTCTAGCTACTTACCGAACAAGAGTGCAACTGTATTCGTTGTCGCCTGCCAGAATGAGCAGGTGCCGACGATCTCCTCCTCCCAGCATTCTTTTTTGCTGTGATCGTAGGCAAGCAGCTTTTTGGATTCTTCATCGTGGGAGAAATAGATCGCGCATTCGCCACCCTCCTGTTTCGAAGCGTCGATTTTTCCATACCCTCCTTCGTTTGCTACGAACGGTGCATGTAGTGATCCCATTTCAGCTTCACCTTTGCGTGGTGGCTCTGGTGTTCCAAAATTTCGTGTGGGGACCGAAGACGGTGCTCCGGGAGCGAGTGAGCTGCTTGTAAGTGAGAACTAAGGCGAGCGTCGCCGCAGCGCCGAGAGTTGAAACATCAGCAGTTTGTAGCCAGGGTAGGCATGACATTTCCTGAATTACAAAAGCCTGTCGCCAGATTGTCACTTAAGTGAGTCATGACATGTAGGCATTGAGACTTGATTCATCAATACACTATTTACTCCTTGAGACATGGAGCAGTAATCTTTTTGACGGTAATTACCTCGTGACCCACTTCCTCAATCAGTGGCTACGCGCAGTACAACGAACAAAACCCACTGGAGTGTTGCAGTTCACAGATCTTTACTGATTAGAGCAAAGTAAGCTTCAATAGCAAGCGATTCAAGTAAGAGGATTAGGCGCAGTTTCAGAAGAACTGCCTGGAGTTTCCAGCAGCCGCCATCGTCTTCCAGTGGTCTCAGGTGTTAGCAATTTCCCCTCTCTAAGCTGAGCTGGGGAAATTTTAGCTGGATCAGAAATCCTACACTGCTGGATGAATTAGGAGTTCGCAAGCAGCAGCAGGTCCAGGACACGCAGTACCTGATTCAAGTGAAGACTGCAGGGAAGTGGTGGAGAAGAGACGGCGGTGATGTTAGTTACTGGCCCCAGAATCGTGTCAGTTCTAGGGGTTCTTTAGTTCGCAGGGGTGGCCCCCGACTGAGGAGCGTTCTAATGATGAGGATTAGCTTTATATAGAGGCATGATGACATCGTCATTGCAGGTTTTCCTCACCTCACTGCACTATACCTGCTCCAAACATAAAAGCTAATGATTTCCAGGGACAAGTCTTGATATCTGGATGGAAAATATAGCTTCTTGTCTGGAGCCCTTTACTTTTGACCCCACATGTCTTGTATTCGCTACCTCTTCAATTCCCACCTCTAATCAAGCAGTCTCTTTGAATCTTGAGCACGACCTTTAGGATATTAACACAATCACACAATGTTTCATTTCTCAAGTATCCATGGGGCTAGCCGTCTCCCGTTGATTTCTTACCCCGGTTGTCCGCTTTCTTACATATTTCTAACAGTACAGTGGAGATTCAACTTCGAAAATGGAGATAAAAATACAAAGTGTATACTACGATAATGTAATAAATAATATATAAATATATAATATAATGATTGAGTAGAATCAATAAATCTATCAACATATATACATCTATGCAATTATTATCCAGGCAGGTTATCGTAAGACTTGTAAGTTATGTGTATGAAAAAGCCAAGCGGAAATGTGAATCATGCTGTTTCAAAAGAGACTGCGAAAAGCTAGAGGAGACAGAAGTGCGCAATGCGAACAGAGACACGCGTACGTGCCCTGATCTCTTTGGAATCTATGAACCAGATGTTGGTCAAAAAAGATTCGCGTATAAAAGCGCATGGTAACAAATTACGAGAAACCCAAGCGCGACTTCAATCCAAAGTGCTTCATAGGAGAGGATAGGGTGGTTGCGAGTCATCACATTCTAATTTCTGGCCAGATGGGTCCTGCTATTATTAAGCGAAAGGACCGAGAAACTCTACCTGAAGAGAACATGAAACGTACACGTGGAGCCGCCACTCCCAAGCATATGCTGACCCGGATATAGCGAGGGCTTCTGTCGGGCTCTACCCCTGCGACCCTTTCGATCATTCAACATTAAAGGAGAGAGAGGGCTCCAGAGATGCAAATTTCGTCCTAATTTCGGTCGACTTGAAGCAAGCGCTCTAGACACTGCTTCGACCTCCTTCCAACCTTGCGTGGTACCTCGACTGAGCCGCCAAGAGTCGAACTTTTCAACACCTCTTCCCCGACAATCTAATGTCTGCAGAGTGCAACTTCTCGTTCTCTGTTACAATTTTTTCTTAGTGAACTTTTCTGATTTGACAAGTTTTTTCAAGTAAGTTCTGATTTGACATCCTCAGTACATGTGAGAAAGATCAATTGGTTTTATCGAGTCTAAATAAAGGTCGAAGTTTTGTCTTTTAGTTGGAAATTAGTCAGACTTAAGGCTTTGCAACGAGCTTTTCCACTGTTTTGTTTGGTACAATCGAGCTCAATGTTTGCAGTTTCCGATGAGATTCAGCCACAGTTTCAGGAGATTATTCAACTGAACGAACTGAATTCAACTGAAGTTCCGAATGCTGCGCTGATCGTCACACCTAGTCAAAGATCAAACACTAAAAGTGCCATATTGGCACCTTGCTGCCCACGTTTGTTCCCATATACAATGGTCTACCTATCGAGCTCCCGTTTACTACTGTAGTTACTTTCATCCCATCAACTGAGTTCAGTGTGCGGAGCTCCGGAGATGTCTTCACCCATGCATTGAGCTGCATTGCTGACCTCCAGAGGCGTACGTAGCTATTAACAATGAAATTTGTATGTTTCAGCTTAAGTGCTTCGTTTAGTCCATAACAGTTAACAGTCTGGTCTTTCTTTCCAAAAGGAGCCGCAAAGGGATACCACAAAAGATCTGCAAGTGACAGTCTCAGGTCTTCCAAATCTGGAGAATTGTTTATCAATTGTTAATTGGTCTTTCAATCGCAGCTGGACATTCAAGCTGATAAATCTCCAGGCCTGAGCTTCAGACATCGATAAGTGCCAAATGAACTTAGATCCATGAAATCAGGATGAGATTGTTGATGATGATGACATGCATACGGTAACCTCGAAGAATTAGAATGTGGTTCCTTGGATTGACAACGAGTAAAATGTGGTATGACTTTCCTACCGTGGAACCTGATCAGACACACATCAGAAGTATCTGGTCTTCCGGGTGGACACGAGCTGGAAGTCAATCAGGAAGCATGTAGTGAATCTCGAAGTAGATCTTATCAACTGTACAAAAATCTGGACCATTTACTTGTTGACAATTCTCGATTACCAATTGCAACCCGTCTACCATTATGGGGACATTCTCACTCTATCAACTTCGGATTCCAGTCAAAATGCATCTCTCCACGGGACAAACCTCTGGGGTACCATCTTCGTCCTGCGGACGAAGTCTTCACAAATCTTAAGATAAACCCGCACATAAATCAGAAAGTGGATCAAAAGCGCAAGACATTGATCCACTTTCTGGTCAGTGGAAGGGCCGAGTCGGCAAGCCATTCGGTTCTGCAGGCACTGACACACAAGGCCGCAGGTCACCGAATACTCCGGAGCATGATTGCGTCAAAGTGCATGCAACGACCGATGCCCATCTGGGGCCATGTAAAATGTAAAGTCGATGGATAATGCAACAGCCGGGGCTGTCCCGTAGGAACTCGGGCACATGGAGTACATACCTGTCCATGCAACAAGAGCGTGGAAAGCAGCAAGTCATTGAGTCGCAACACGTACACTCTCTCGCCTACATTTCGAAGTTATTGTATCATCTCGTGTCTTCAATAATTCTGGTTTGGTGATGTATCAGCTGCTTTGACTCTGCCTCCCGGACTCCATGAGGCTCCATGTCTCTACATGAGAATAAGGATGTAAAACCATCTACTCCAAAGCTTCTGCCATCACCGTCGAGAGAAAGCTGAACGTGACAAAACAGGCAAAGTTCGTTGTCGTCAAGCAGCCATGAGCTCATGGTGCAATGGTAAATTCGGATCATTTCTTCAATCTCGACAATCTGATAAGATAACGCAGATACCGACACAAGGTTTCGGTTAACTCAGGACGCGATCGCCTGCACCGCACGTCAATGCCAGGCTGTAATTGCATGCAATACGATGAAAATCCAGCTCGAAAGACGTCGAAAAGAACATGAAAAAGAAAAGTTCAGATCAAGTTGAAGGTTTTTCTCTATCCGGGCTTGAATTTTTTAAGAAAGCTCTAAAGGCTTGTCCACTGACACGATGAGAGAGATCCGTGTTTTCCAACTGAATCGAGACACGGTGAGAGTGGTTCACTTAGGGGTTTGCTTTTATGGTTCACTTTGTTAGGCAGTACAATCCAATCAGCCCAGTGGAGCAATAGCCTGACCATTGACTGCGGCTCCTATCTCGCTTTACCCAACAAAACATGCTAGATGACAAATGTTCTGAAAGCATGGCCACGGTTGACTCTAATTTCCAGAACATGAATTTCGTGGGAATTTTTTTTAATAATATCAAAGGAGAAAAAGCATTGCATTGTTTGGACTTCGGGTCATACTTCGTTATAGTGGGTGCTGATCTATGTGATGCTGATTGTTTGCGTAAGGAATGAAGTAGATTCCGCGCGACCGTATCAGAAGCTCGAGACTTCCGACACACCTTATGGCACAAAACCACCGATCTGATCCACTGATCAGTGCCTAAGAATATATTGCTCACAACGTTCAGTGCCGAGTCTAAGTACACAAAAGTCATCTCTTTTCGAGTTGAGTTGCATGCTCCTTAGATTCACCTTTCGCTTAAGGATTTCAGTCAGCAGTCGGGCATTTTAAAGACCACTTCCTCAGCTTTAAGGTTAGCCGATCAAAGTGGATGGTAGTTGTTGCCGCTGGGAGGTTCTGTGTCAGGATAACTTTTCCAGGTATGGTAGGGCTATGTTTTGCTAGACGTGTAAAATAAAAGACATTTCTTTGTTTTCTTAAATTCAGGTATCAATGATATCTAATATGAACACTATGTACTAGAAATTAACCAGTCGAGAAATTAGGGTTTTTTTTTTTGAGAAATTGATTGATTTTTCACAGATTACATGTTTTGATTCTTTCATAATCCAATTTTTCTTTTTCGCTGCATTGGTCATATGAGGGCATGCAGGAAAATTGAGAATATTTATGTGAAAAGCCATGACTATTTTTTAATGTTAGAGTTCACCAAACGAAAAATGCTCCCCTTCAACAGAAACGAAGCACAGAGACATGATCCCTTTGTACGGAGAGATTAACTTATACAAACCAAACTGAAGATAAGAGTATTATCACTTTTCGTATATCATGTGAAAGGGTTGTGATTTTGCGTGTCGGAAAAGATTCATCATCATAATTAATTCTTTTTGTGTTAATCATAGCCTTGCTTTCACTTATAGAGCTGCCTAAATCGGTGTGTGATACATCATATCCCGTAAGTCAAAAGGCGAAGATGTACAAAGAACCACAAATTGACTATTTCCAAATAGTCAATTTGTAATGCACACGCAGATCAAATTGACAACCACTTTGTCGTGGATCACGTACAGTCTATCAATTATTCTTAATGATTCTGGAAAACTGGATCAGGTCGTGAAGGGAAGGTTAATTTGTAGGTAGAATCTACAATCTATCTCTAGTACTTGTTGACACTAGATTTTCTTGTTCATATTTACATCATAATCTACCTTGTGCAGTACATGAAGAACATATATGTTTTTTCTCCTACTTATTGATCAAAATTTAGCATCAATAATATTGATCAAAATGTACAATGTGAAATTCTACATATCCGTAATTTATAAACATGTCGAGATCATGCATTAAATCTGCAGGGTTGAACAACCAAGTTTCATTGAACTATACAAATGAACAAAGTCTACTACAAGTGCATTGTATTAAGAAACACATTTCAAGCTTCTATGTACTTTTGTGATATTTTAATTTTGTATGAAATATTTTTAGCTTCAATACGAAAATTGTTAATACGAAAATACTCTCGATATAAATGATTCGTGATTTTTTTCAATTACGTTATAAAAATTAAGATACAAAAAAAAATTGGTCACCGAAATAGATGAAAATGTCGATAATCAAATGCATGAAAGATATTGGTATTATATGTCTTTCAAATTTATATAAAGTTTTGGCCCCAAGAAGAAAGTTTTCTCCACAATAGAAACGCTAATTGGAATCTGTTTTGATTCTATTAAAAATATATAGTCTGAAGCAGAAAGTGAAACAAATTTTAAATGTCTGAAAGTTGTACACAATCAGATATAGTGTAGTAATTATTTTGATAATCTTAAGATATTTGTTTTTAAAATAATGAAGTATAGTATATTCATGTACTATTTCTGAAGTTTGGTGTCGGCGGGCTTGATTGAGAGTGATAAAAAATCTGAAAAAGAAGGATGATAAATATTTATTAATTATTCTTTTTATATCAATGAAAAAAATTTGAGATATGTTTATCTCTTTGCAGTATTTAATAGTAAAAACTAATTTTATACACATACAAAATGCTGATATAAATTATTACAGGAAAATCAAGAAGCAAAAAAATGTATGACAACTGTTAAAAAAATTATCTATAGTTGAATATTAATAAATTCATCATTATCTAGAAATTTGTATTTATTTTATTAAAAATTTCAATAATAATTATATATAATTTCAATCATACTTCAATTATATTTTAACTTTCTTGCATAAATTTCTAATGATTCATATTTAACTCGTTCTTTATTACGTTTTTATTTATCCAGAGGAAAAAATCTGCTAATTGGAGGTAAAACTTCTGCATTTAATTTTTAACTTGAGTTTTACTCTCTCAATTTGATTTAGTTTGAAAATCTTTCAATTTGAAATTCAAGTAAAATTATCTTTGGAAAAAAAGCTAAAGATCAGATCTAAGGTCTTGAATATTAATGAAAAGTTAGTGATAAATCTAGCCTATTCAGACTACAGATTTTGATAACAGAGATGATTTTTTATATTTTTATGTCAAAGATGTCAACGATATTGCTTTTACAAAAATAAAAGCAAGGTTAAAGTTTTGTGAAGCTATCTTCAAATGCCAACCTAGAATAATAATTTGATTGATTGAGAGGCCAGCATTATGCGCAATCGAGGCAGATATTCGCAAGCTGTTAAAAATTGTCATGTGTGACATGTTTTGAACACCAGCAAAGAACTAATGGTAAAATATCACACGCACATGATTCAATAGGATTCACTATTTCTTCCAATATTAGTCCCCAGGCAGTGTTGCGAACAGATATCGAACTCCAGCCTGGATCTACAAGAGTCCAAATCACACGTGTCACTTGGAGACTTGCAGAGCCAGTCACCCGGTCGCAGACCGGGGTGAGAGGTACGTAGCCTGATAAGTGCGTGCCCACCCTCACGTCTTCGTTATTCGGCTCCAGTTTGGATAGGGACATGACTGCGCTTGGAGATCCTAGACTTTGCTATATGCGCAATGTTTCCCTGATGCCATTGTTTTTCACAGCACAAGATATCGGCCAGCAGAAGATTATACCATGAGAGGAAATCGCAGCATTTTTAGATTCTGATCGGCAAAAGTACCAACATTTTCTGACCAGCCTTGAGCAAACCTATACGATAAAACCTCTATGAAAAAACCCGCAGATTTTGATAAGGTGTCGGATTGCAAGGTTGTGGGCAAAATCCTACAATTGTTATGAAAAGGACGATGGGAAGTGTCTTCCTAAAGTGGGAACTGGTAAGAGCAAAGCCAAGACCAGGTACCGACAAATGCATCTCTGCACAAGCCTCTAGGATCCAGTAAAGTGCTTGGAGAGAGCAAGTCTGTTGCTTTTAGACGAACAATGAAAAGAGCAATTGAATTAGCAAAAAACGAAAATATAGAAGGAATTGAAAAACAATTAGCAGGAGAAGAATGTTCAATCCCCATTCATCAACCGATGGACGACTTGTGAGAGACCTACTACGTACCCCAGCTCTGCAAGTGTTTCACTGGAAAAAATTGACATGGATGCGAAATGGTTATTTCGAGACTGTAGATACTCAGAAGATGCGCCATCACACACTTCTCTCATCTCACGATCTGTCACAAGTCTCAGATCAATGGGTCCAAACGCAGTCAGTGATTTACTCCTCACAGCCCCCGAACCTCTTCCCCTCAACCTTCATGCTGAAGACCAGTTCTTTGACTCTGACAGTCAAGGCTTGCACATCACAAGACGACTAAGTCAAGCAGTCACGATCCAAAGGAGATCGTTAAGCCCCGCAAAATCCTCCCAGTAATCATGCTCACATATCCATAGTCCAGGAGAGTACACCATCAGAAAAGGACGAGTACCAGTACTATTAGTACCAGGAGCAGGTACTAGTTGCCAGCCGTACTCCTCATTCTCTTCTGTGTTCGTGCGCATGATATTCAGATTGCTGCTCTCTACTATATGTTCGCCACCGGTAACATCATGGATTAAATCAATGTAGGCCCGGTCTGTGTTGCCAATCTGAATAACAGAGCACCCCACACCATGGTACACTCACTTGTCGGTGAGAATGCTGTGCCGCTAGGTGCCGACTGATCGGCCTCGTGCAGGAAAACTGGAGAGCAGCGGATGGAATAGGCAGGATTCGCCCAATAGAAGTCATTTCCTTCGACAGATGCAAATATTCGACAATGAGCAGACAGTCTGATGCAAAAACTGTTTTCAGAGCAGGTGTCGAGAAGAGGAAAACCGTTAAGAGAAAAAGAATTGGAGAAAATGTTGAACTTCCAGAACTCGCCATGAATGCACGATCTGACAGTTGTCCATCATACTGTCTTCGGCGTTCCAGAATCTGAAGCCCACTTCTCGCGGGGAGCCTATTTCGGACAAGAGCCAATTCCTTTCACGACAGCTCGAAACGGCGCGAGACCTCCGGACTCGGAGTCTTGTGATCTTCTTCTCGTCTGCAGTTCTCCGACCAATATGACACTTTCACATGAAAGACCGAGATATGAGGACCCTGCTGGTGAATATATAAGACGTATAGCTCAGATCAATGCAACATCGCCTCCTCCGTTTGAATCATCAGAAGAGAAGAAGAAGAAGCAGCAGTAGCAGAGCAGGAGAAACAGATTCTTCAGAATAGCAGTGATGGCTTCGAGCTCGACAGCAGTTTTGTTCCTTCTGCTTGCCACTGCCGGCATAGCAAGCGCTGCTCTATCACGGGAGAGACAGTTTTTGGATCCTCACAACAAAGCTCGTAAGGCTGTCAAAGTCCCCAACTTGTCATGGGACCCGAATCTGGCGAAGTACGCGCAGAATTGGGCCAACAAGCAAGCCCGTAACAACTGTCAGCTGAAGACCTCCAATGGCCCATACGGTGAGAACATGTACTGGACCAGCTGGAGCAGCACTCCCTTGGAAGCAGTAAAGGCCTTTGTCAGCGAGAAGAAGTTCTACAACCACGCATCCAACACCTGCACAGCAAAGACAAAGACTTCGTGTCTGATGTACACTCAGGTACACTAGCCCCTCTTCCACACAATGCTTTGTAGTTACATGGACTCGGAACATACTCTGATCACGATCAGAGTATGTCTTAGAACTTTCTGTCAATTCTGGCAGTGTGTAATCAGTGGTTTCTCGACTGCAGGTTGTCTGGAAGAAAACGACGAAGCTCGGTTGTGCATCTTCCAGGTGTCCCAGGGGAGGAACAATCACCGTGTGCAGCTACAATCCTCGAGGAAATTTCATTGGCCAGAGGCCATACTAGATCACGTTGAGCAGATTAGCAACACTAGCGCCCAGGTAGCACACGCACTCGAGAAGGGAACCGCGAAAGAGCCTCCTTGTCAAGGAATGAACCATGACAGGGCCAAGTCTGTTCCATCCTGTTCGTTTTTGGCTGATTTGTGGTGTTTCGGACAATGTGTTTCACTTTCACGTACCTACTAATTAATTGACAGAACTAGTGAACGTAGTCGTAGTGAATAAACATCACTCACTTTCTAGAAAAGTGCAGGCACTTAGCCCAGGTGCTAAAACTCTACATAATCGCCAGCTTTACTCAGCCAGGCAGCCGTCCTCCTTATCGCGTTCCGCTGCCCCGGAAGTTCTTAGTGTCTCTCTCGGCTGGGCTGATTGGTGGTATTCGCAACTCCATTGTTTAAAATGGACATTTGTTCTTGGTGTAATAAACCCGACTGGCTTACAAAGGCCGTGTACTTTGTGGTATGTTTTACTCGAACCAGATCAAGTATTGAGTGTTTTTCGAATATGAAGACTCTGGGCTACTCCCCCCACTTGGATATGTGTATGAAATGACAGGCATCGATGCATTACGGCCATCGAGGCCAAGAAACATGGTCGGCATCAGATGCTGAGCCATGGTCCGCTCGGCATGAAACGAAACACAAAGAAATTGTGTACTTCCCTCGGAGCATTTTTTATCCGTCTGAACTGACATTTTGCTTGCACTTCGGGCCACACTAGCACTTCACACTATCAAACAATACTGAACAATCTCAAAGCCCATGGGCCAGTCTACAGCTGCTCTAAAAACTATGCAGCTCATGGAACAATTGAAGTCACCCACGCACTGGGTATCCCCAAATAATTTACAGTGATAACTTGTTGAATTATCTTGTCCCTGAAGATAGCATCCTACTCAACATAATACAACTCAACATGGCTCCATTCGAAATTGGAAACTTCCGTAGGGCCAAAAAATTGGTTGGAGACATGCTCCAACTCTATCTCATCCTTATACTCCATTGCCTAAAATAGAAATATCATGTGTTAGCACTCAGCCTCTCATTAGTCTGGCCCGTCCAAAAGCCGGACTAATTTTCGGCCCTTTCAGTATCTTACGCAGGACCCGGGGATTGGAGTTGGCCGTCTCCAATCTAATTTTGGGCTGCTGTACAAGAGCCTCTATAAACTAAAGAAAAAACGTAGAAAACTAGAACTAAAACCAGCAAGACAAGGTCTGCAAGGTGTGTGATTTCTTCTCCATTATATACATGCCCAAATTTATCTGTGTATTATGATGTTGTTGTTAGGGTAAACTCCCGTTTATAACATTAAATTTGAAAGCGGAAGGTTTAGAAACGGGATAATTTCCCGTTTATGAAGGTAAATTTATCCCGATTATAAATCCGCTAATTTGGAACCGATAGCATTGCTATAACATCTTTGAATTTTTACCAACGCAGATTATGAAGAATATGAAGATTGAAGATGAATGAGTTGAATCTCTCCTCCAACGCTTGTTTTAGAGTTTGAAGTGCACCGAATGTAGGCAAAGTCACCCTCCCTCTATGTAGATATTCCCTACATATATTGACTCACTGAATCCTCTGAGATCCTCTGAGTTCAGTTATCCTCTTGAAACATGCACTGTCATGAACAAGACGCCGATCAAGGATGTAAGCTTGGTCTACATCCTGCCTTTCTGAAGACGTGGGATACGAGCTCGCAATGTGACACTAATGGACGTGTGATCCATGCTTCTTTCTATTTTCGGAAATACACGATGTTCTCGCTTTTCTGCAACTCTTAACGGGATAGTGAGATTACGCTTATTCCAGAATTAGAAAGCTGGCTTCAAGTGAAGTGGAGCTAGGTCACTGCTTGAATAAGTTGATCAATCCCGATTGGAGCTCAAAATCTAATTTACTGCTCCCATGTTGCTTGCTAGAGCCTATGTCTCGGACCTGAAATTCATGCAACAGGAGGTCCACGGAGAACCCCCAGACCTTTCCTTACAATGAATATGAACTGTAATATAACGGAGGGATCCAAATGTCATCAGATGGATGGCAATGACTGTGAATTGAGTTGTACCTATAAAACGTTCCTTTATTGGCATCCCAGATGACTAAAAAGTAAGAAAGTCAATCCAGACACATTGATTTGAAACACTGACTTTTCTGTTCCAATCCGTTCTAAATTTAATCTCATTCTGTTGAATCATATGCAATCTTTAGTTCATAACAAGTGGATTCTACTGAATCCAATCAATGGATTGAGTAGAATTCTTCGGTAAGATCATGCAGTACAAATACTTTCATCCAGAGCAGCTATTTAAAGCATATATCAGCCTCAAGACAGTTTTCTCAAGCATTGAGGGTAGTTGTGACTAACCTTAGGAATAAAACTTGAATTAAGACACCAGATAAAAGAAGGCCGAAGACATCGTTAAACCATCAGGCTTTGACCACAAAGGATGATGTATGATATCCGAGAGCTCAGTGACACAGCGCTTAGTCCTTCATATTTGTTCGGAGACTATCTTCGTCCACAGATGGAGTCGAGAGAGTGTTCCGATCGTACCAAGATGAAGGCTGTGTCTGGCATTTTGTATGATCGTCAAGAAGCCTTTTGCTGAAGATTTCGTTCTTCAGATTTCAGCTCTTCATCCTCTGCACACGTTGAAAATGACATCGAGGAGAGCTGCATGAACATGATAGTGTCAGATTTGGACTCGCTTTAGAACTCCAACTTCTAGATTATCACCTACTTTCTGGATCGTCCTCCAGCTGTCCTCGTCCTTTCCAAATCTCATCGACATCACCAAACTTTCTTAACATTGAAAAAAATCTCCTCAGTAATTTCGCAATTAGTTTGTCTGCTTCATATCAGTGATCATATACAAATTTTTCCATTTCATATCTAGTAATCGCAACAAGTCTTTCTGTTTCCACGACTAGTTATCAGAAAGACTGAAGACATGTCAACTCTAGAACTTAAGGTCGCTCGGTATGAATTGTAGCTATATTTGTAAGTAGAAAAACGCTTTGTTACATCCCTGAAGCTTATGATTCTTCTGGATTCTGTACTAGATCTTCGAATCTAGAGGGAGACTTTGTTTGGGTATTGCCCAGCTGGTTACGCACATTCTTACGGTGAACTTAATTTCTAGGTACAGCAGCTTTCCATAATTTCAAAATGAGGTCACCTCCCGTATTTCAGCCGTCAGTGAACTTCGTGCGTCCTGTCCCACCCACACTCCGCACATGACAAAGAGGTGACATGTGAACACGAGTATTGGAAATTCACTTGTTTTTTATTCCATTCTGATGAACAAGGTGAGATCACACGGCTTCCTTGCCGTTCAACTCATGCGGGTACAACTGTGAAACTCAATCGACTTCGCTTTGACAGTGAAAGTGCTTGATGGAGCTTATCTCTTGATTCAATAGCATAAGTACGAGTTTCGGTATTTCAGGTTTTCATCCATCTGGTGCGCATCGGCAAGTCGATTCTTGACTAAACTAAACTTGACTGGATCTAGCTACAAGAGGTGCTTCTTGCATCCTTTCACAAACTCCCCATTCGTGTCGTGCTCTATTGCACTATCGCCAGGAGACGTTTTTTTGTTGGTTTCATTCAATCATCGATACGGAATTGCCTCCGTTCCTTCGCCGGGCAATAATCTTTGTCTTCTCAGTTTTCATGATTCATCCAAGCCATTGCATGGTGAGCTGAACAGGAAAAATCACTCTTGTTTTCAAGACTGGAACAGAATGGATTTCGAGAGAAGGGGTATGAATCTGAATTAAGAAGGGGCTGTAAATTGTCCACGTGTTCACTGTCTCGTTCAAAAACCTCCTCCGATGAATGGCCACATACTACGAACATGAACCTCTGCCTATCCTTCCCGTTGAAGTATCGTAAAAGTGAGCTTGACTGAAATGTAAGGATTTCCTGGAGAAAGTAACTCGTAAATCAACGCTGCCGTGGATGCATACCTCAACGACCTGTACGTTGACACGCGACAGAGGGTTCATGTGATGTGACCGATACTGTGCAGATGAACACAGTGAACAAATTGATTCGCTACGCTGTCCATAAGTCGAAGTTCGACAGGAAACTCCACGTCTCGCTCTTTGGGCTCATTCTTTTTATCAGGATGAACTTGCAGGGAGCTCCACGGCAAGCATCTGTCAGATACGGTGATTCAGTTTTTGGGTTGACATCGTTTGTGGCTTGAATCAAATAAATATATTTGGTCTTCAAGTGCAGCTCCAGATGCTTATAAGCAGACGACCAGCAAGGACCCAAAACAGCCAACAACAAAAAAACAAGACGATATTCACATCAGCGACGGCAGAACTGCTTACAATCTACAGTACAACAGAATGATAAGGTACCCATTTTTGGTGGAGTTCGAAACAGGGAAGATTCTGGTGCAGATCTTGGCATCCATCCAGCAGGTAGCCCAATGTAACTATGCGCTAATCGTCACAAGGTATTCCACGCTCCGGCCATCTCCTGTAAGATGTTGGAAGGAAGGAAATTATTTGCCTCATTATCTTCCATCGCTCAGCGTCAAGATTGATCATTCTAATAAATAGTTTACAAATTTATATATCAATGAATAAATCAACGCAAAGTGAATCATGTTTCAGAATTATTTTGTCGAATTTGAGACTATTTTTTACATATGCATTAAATTAATGTGAATACGCATGAGAGAAATTTTGTGAGACTATGTTATCATCTACATACACATTTTAATATACTTCATTCTCAAGTAGTGTTACATGTGACGATTAAACTGTTAGTGACAAAAGAACACCCCAACCCCAACTCCATAATCATTATATTGGCTGTAAGTTTTGTTAATAAGTGATGTTTTTTGTTGGGTGATATGCCACCTTCGATGGAGAAGTGTTGATATGTATAAAGACGACGTAACCATATGTTTTCTTTGATAGAAAAAAGTGAGGCTTTTAACATTCCAGAGGAGTTGTTGCTGAATTCCAAAAGTCAACTGTTGTGCAGTCAACATCATCAATCTCCCATCGCCTTCTATCTTGTCGAATGAAGACGATCATGAGGTGATACTGTGATCCGTTTACAAACGGACCACACAATTTGGATTTTTGACCTCACATCATTGTCATCCGCTTTTCCACCACAGGAGACGCTGACATGTCTCAAAGTGGCAGTCAAAACTCGACGGCCTCAGTTGGAGTGTCTCTTAAAGAGCTCGGTAAAAGCATTACTTTCTTCGTGTGGGTTTCAGCCATAGCAAGACAATGAGGCACAAAACAAAAGAGATGAAAACAAACTTTCTAGTATCTCGTTATTGTCAATAGTATCAAAATATGAAACATTTCCTCTTACTTAAAAAATGATATATACATCAAAGGCTCTAATGATTGAAGGAGGTTAACTCGTGAATGCTTATGTCTGGACTTGAGGAACTTCATCCAAGGAAATTGCAAACGTCGTTCCATATATTGGGCGGAGTTTATGTGCCTGTTATATGACTTAAACGACACATGAGTCAATGAAAACAATACCCAAACTTTGAACCCCATACCTTGAGCGTCGATGACTTGTATCACTCACTTTTCTTGGTGTTTCAATATACTCATTATGACAAAAAATCTTCAAAAGATGTCATAATTTACTTTATCAAATTATTCTTATTCTACAATGATGTAAAATTTTTTTCTTAAAATTTTAACAATACTAAGGATAAATCAAGCAATTTCTCATTTTTCAAAACTTCATCATGTACTATATATTTAGCAACTGACTCATCATTTTATGCATACTGATAGTTGATCAAAATTAAACGTTTGTAATGTATGAGGATAGCAATAAATCTTGATTGATCATATATGTAATATTTTTTTATTATAAATCAGTTATTCATCAAAATTAATATAGTTATTATGCTAAAATTAATCATTTGGTTTTTATATAAATTTTTTATTTAAATTATAATAATGACATGGAAAAATATTCAAGGAGTTCACATGCATATGTTCGACTTTAATGGTGTTTTAGATAAAAGAAAATTTCCACAAGATAAAATAAATTTTGCTCACATTATCCTCAAGTAAGTTTGATAGAGTTAATATAAAAAATATGAATGTTGGGAATAAAATGGAATTCTGGATAACTTTATAAATAACCATAGAAATATAAGCTGTTATTAATTTTTCTGAGATATTAAGAAAATAGTTGTTTTAATTACACGATTAGCTACTTCTGCTGGTAAAAAAAAATCTTCACTGATGTATTCCAAACTACCAATATCTATGCTAGAACATGCCCGTTCAGATAATTCCACATCAACATCAATTCCCACCTCATGTTACTTTATCGATTTGCAATATATTTAAACTAATGTAAGTCCTAAATATCATCAGTTTACTTGTTAAATGCAGTGTTAAGTAGCTTTATCTAAGTAAATCTTCTATATGTTTTACTGAGGTTTATGAAATACATTTGAAAAGTCAGAACAAAGTCACCGTAGACTCACAAGGAGTGCAATGAACACACAAAGGTATTGCAAATGAAATTTGTGTTTGAACTTGCTGGCAAAAGCATTTACGAGTTTTGCGGTAAATTAGGGAAATAATACATACAAAAACTATAAATTTCAAGACTTAAATTTATGATTTACAACTGTAACCAAATCTAGGACGAAAAAAGTTTCTCTGGTTCAGTCCACAGGCAAATGAGTAGCCGTAGGTAGAATGAGAGACTGAAGCTTTCCTGAGAGAACAGAAGTAAAGTTCTGAAGTTCGCGAAGAACATCGAAATATGAATGTCACCGCAATTTAGAGAACTTGATATTAGTTCATTCCTCTGCCTACAAACTTTCAGGGTCTGATTTCGTCTTTTTAAACTTACTACAATACAAATTTCTGAAACTTCGATATTTTAAATTAAGTTCAGTAAATCTTGAGATACAAACGTGGAAGGTTAATTTAAAATAATTTTGAAGACAGTGAGAAACGCATGCTTTGCCAGAATCGGTGTGCAGAGTTGCTTCAATCATCTCAATTAAAACCCAACAAGCCCATCAAAAGATACTTTCTTTCCCTTAATCTCTACAATCCCTAAACCTAGACAGGCGTTTGAACTGAAGTTTTATTTCACTGTCCGTATCGGTTGGTTACTTCCAGTCATTACATTCTTCATTCTCACATCTCTTGATTGAGTATTAACGATGCTATGGTTCGAAACTAACTACTCATAATTTCTCCTTCTATGATATCCCACTTCCATTGATAGTATAGATTAGCAGAAATCCCGAAGGTTTGATCGCACGATATAGATTTGCGCCGAAGATTTCAACACAAATCTTGCACCATCGAGGTGCTTGTGTGCATCTGATACGGCGTCCAATGAGAAGGAATAGGCTGAACAGAATGCGTCAAGCGAAAGGTTGGCAACGCTTCAGATATGATAGATGATGATTATGTCCCATATTTAGATATATACTAAATAACCAGCTTCTACGCTTAAGGTAAAGGGTCTCCCTTGGACATATTCTGTCTGCGGAGATCTCGATGGATCATCCTCCGACAAGAGTCATCTCCTTACCCAGAAACTCCGATGGGTGGAAGAAATATCTTCTTCTCCGCATGTCAATAAGTGGCTCGAATTCCCAACCTCAGTCAGCATGTTCATCTTCATGCCCCTCGAAAAAATCATGAACAGACAGTACTCTTACAGCGATTGATGTTCTTCACAGGGTTCGATGGAGACGACATCGTGTCTGAGAATCATGAAAATTACCTCCAATTGTGCACCCGTAGAGAAATCAATACACTGTAAAAAATTGGATCCGATTGGCAAGGGATTGAATGTCGCACTTTGGCCTGATAATGTAAGAAACCATGAGGAACAGAAGGTCATCAATTGCATCAATGAATTGTCTTCAACTACAAACTCGTCGGAATTTTACCAGGTTTTCTAGAACTTAATTGCACTTGATATAATATATACCACGTGAAGTAAAGATCATCGATAATAACGCATTCCATGGTTTCCATTGTGAGAATTCTGTACACTCACGTTCTACATGAAATCTGAAGCCACTAACTGGTTTGAGCTACTCACAAATAATTAAGGGGCTAGCTAATTCTTCAGGCCGGAAGGTTTTAACTACATCGCCTGCGATCGATCATCGTAAATGGTTAGATCTTCAATCTCAGTTGCATAAATGGCATGCCTGGTACATTAACTGATTGGCAAAACTTATCTGACATGTGCCGAAGTCCCTGGGTTATAGGTAGGTGCAGCTATCAATCGACACATTGCGAGCTAATGTGCAGAGAGCCGAGTGCCAATCTACAGTCTTGGCATTTGTAGTGGGGAAATCCTATCATAGATCCCCTAAAAGATTCAGAAACGTTCTGGAGCAGAAACATGTTCTGAGCAGACCCATTTCTCCTTGACCGTCAGGACGTTCATGAAATAGAGACGTAAATATCGTCTTTTGCTTTCAGAATGGCAGGTCGGGCAGGTGAAGGCAATCACGCCTTTCTCAGAGTGAAATTCCTGAAAAATAACGGAGAAATTAACAATTACTACAGATGTCTTGATGTGCTCGGCGAAGGTGCTTATGGTAAGACCCACGAGGTTGAGCACGTAAGCAATGGACGAAGATACGCCATGAAAGTTCAACGGTTCGAACGCGTTGCTCCTGGAGCTGTAGTCACTTCGTGGAATGATCCATACGGAGATGTAAAGAGGATCTACAAAGAAATGGTTATTCTGAACGTAATACTTCCTCGACATAGGAATATAATTGAACTCAAGGACTTGCTGATGAGCGTTGATACAGTGTACATTGTGCTAGAACTATGTGCAAGCAAATGTCTCAGCCATTTCTATCCTATCGCCCAAAACAGAAGCGGGAGAAGAATCTTCAAACAAATAGTCGAAGCAACTCATTTCATCCATCAGCATGGCGTGCTACATATGGATTTGCACTCAGAGAATATTCTATTCGCCGATGATACCATGACGGAATCTAAGATCATAGACTTTGGTTTAGCTGTCTACAAACCAGCTTTAGCTGTAAAAGTTCACGCTAATTTTAAGCATCGTGAGTGGTTCAATATCGATGACTTAAGCTGCCTCCATGAAGACTTATCAGTACCCCAAGAAGATATAAGAGCCTTGGGCCATATACTGCACTGCATTCTGGCTGGAACCGACGTATACCCAGGAGAGTTTGAACAGCCTGGCGCTATAGGTGAAGCTGAAGGTGAAGGAGTGACTCCCGACTACATGCCAAGAATGCACATTTTTGACAGGAAGGCAAAGGATTTGCTCGAACTGATTGGCCCAGAGTATTTCCGTCGTGGCGCATTGCCAACTATAGATAAAGTCCTTACTCATCCTTGGCTTGCATAGAAGAAAATAAACTAAGCCTGTCTTCCAGGGCTTCACATATGCCATGTATGATAGTAAAACTTCGTTCCACACTGATTTCACTTACTTCCTCAGATATTTCTCATCACGCCCTTGAGGGAAACAGGGCACGATGGGGAATATCCACAAAACGTCGGCACCTCCCAAGCAGAAGCTTTTCTTAATGGTATTTGGGACGATGAGCATGCCAAAACTGAAATGTAATGCCGCTCCAGATCATCCTTGACCATGCAACAGCCCAGTCTAAGACAGATCAATGGAGCCCAGCCTAGATCATGGCCGCAGATAATATCTCTATTTTGAAAAGAACCTCTTGAGACAACCTGAACCTGTTACTGGAGGTGTGAGCACGAGGTAGCCAAGACTCTTCACCATAACTTGAATCCAGACAGTTTGGTTAGTTCTATGCGATGGACCTCGTGGTCTTTGCTACCAGAGTCAAATATGACATCCTTTCTCCGAGCTGGGTCGGGTACCTTCTTCTAAGCTGTCCTTCGAATCTCATTTCTGTGATTTCTCCATGTAAAAGATAGAGTGATGTCATAATGTGAGTATCTTCAGTTATTTCAATATTAGAAAATTTGCACGGTAATTGATGACTGTATCACTCTCTGCAAAATCCAGGAGCAATGTCCGAAAAAGTCAATCCTTGCGGAAATTATACTATTGCACCCTGAAAGGTTACTAGACTTTTTAACTTTGCCGAAGTTGGAACCCTCAGTAGTGACTGTGATGTTTTGAATATAGAAAGCAGATGATTTCAATTTGGAATTACGAATGCCTCTTCTATTGGAATTCCAATCACTTCATTCTGAACCCGACGCACCAGATTCACAAAGGATATATAGATCGTTCACTCGCTGTTCGCTTAGCAAACAGTTGAGAAAAACTCCTTCGATGTGCAGTGGTCTTGGACCCCAAGACCCACGTAGGTTCGAATCCTGCCTCTCCCAAGTATACTTCGTATTTTTCAAATAGAGGCGAAGCACATATTTTTGTGCTTAACCCTTCATGCAAGAACCTACAACCTTATAGAATTTTTTCATTGAGTTTGAGTGGATAGACATTCACTTGGCCCCGCCTATTCTAACCTTCCCTGATGCGCCTAAATCGCCTAAATCAAGTGAAATCTGGTAATTCAGGCGACTCCCTACTATAAGCATGCCAAAATTTAGCCAGCTCAATATTCTCCCAAATAACCATCTGTAAATTAGTATAATTTAATATTGACCAACTTCTGGTGAGTTTCTACACACTATCATCCTACTTCGTGATCTGCTGGTTTACTTGAACAAGATCTTACTGGAGTATGTTAGGTAACATCTTCATTACCTCCTTTTCCATGACAAAATCTGGCTGCTACATGATCCTAAAACTGAAAACATTCGAACAGATATGAAGAAATCAAAGTACCATGACTGATTACCAAAATGCCCATTTGACCACTTATGTAAAACTACCAACTACCCTATTAATCGTTATGCTCGTCTGAAAATATGTTTCAAAATAGTGCTACTCCTGTAGCTGCTACATTTTCCAGAAACATCCTACTATTTGTCCTTTAAGACACGACGAATGGTTTTACTTTTCGATGAATCAACAGCTTTCTTCCTTAACCGAATAGCTTTGGGGGTAACCTGCACAACGTTACAGATCACAATTTACAACAAATGTTAGACAACAGATATGATGGATGAGTTTCCAGCACCCGGCAATGTCACCTCCACACAAGCTATTGAAACACAGTCAGAGACCACCACATTTGATCAGGCTTTTTCTTTCCCACTTTCTGACGGACACGCACAATAACACATGCCAAAAAGGTTGGTCCTTCAGCAGCTAAAGAACAGCCAAAGCTGAAGTAGAGCATCCTTTTTCTGCGATTGCTTGCAGTGGGTCGTGATCTAAAACCCAGAAGTACTTAAAGTTGAAACTTACCTCCATCAGTTTGTCTGCAACAACATAGCCGATAGCTTCTTCCAAGGATATCTGCAAAAGCAGGAAAAATATCAAGAGCTTCAAACCAGTGAATAATTCGCAATTATAAGGTACGGGTAAAACATACCACTTCGGCCTTCTAGGTGGAAATAGTGGATAACAGATGACTCAGAAGAATTTAACATAGGCTATACCTGTCGCGGTGGTATCAATCGAACATTTTCATCCTTACTTGCTGCTCGAACATTGATAAGTTCCTTCGACTTTACAAGATTGAGCTGGAGGTAATCACAAACACCAAAACTCAAATCAAATACTTGTTAAGGGTATGGCTGGCTGCATCATAACAAGCATTTAGTATATGACGAAAATCAACAATATAAGCACATTATAATGACAAACTACAAACCTCCAGGTTAGTGTTGCACGAATGCTCCATGATAACCATCCCATCTTATCCCAACCTAGGCAATCCAAGAGCTTGACGTGTTAATGTGGAATATAAGAGATCTTTTGTGGTAACGTAGTTTTTTATTTTTTTGAAGAAATAAAATCTGAAGAGTATATGAATAGAAATTTACACTTTTAGGATGAGAATAATTATAAGTAGATTAAATAAAGGATTATGTAGCAGATGACTAGCTAGGAATAGTTGGAATCCATGCTAGATACCCCTCTAAAGTTGGTGTTTTTACTTGAAGTCAATAAAGGTAAATTAGATATGTTATGATTTGGTAGAGTAGACACCTCACAACTTTGTCTATTAGTGACAACTTGACTTAGGAAGGATCTTGATAGATGGAGCTCGACATGCTCATTCTAACGAGCCGAAGAAATCCTAACGGATAAGGAGTCACCGAGTTATGAGTCTAGGAAGTGGCTAGTATGGATAAGTAGAAGGCAAAGAAGGGACTTTGGACTTCGGCTTTAACATCTCCCGCTTGAAGCAAAAGTGCCTTCAGCTTAGTAAGAAGGCAGCGCCGACATGAAGGAACTTTGGCCTTCATACAACCAATTTGCACGAGTTCACGATGCGGTTCGGCCGTCAAGAGACAATAGCAGAAACAAGAGTTCCGCGCAGACAATTCTGGAATGTTCATTTTTGAATTAAGAGTGCAGTGAGGATCGCGAGTGGGCAATTGAGAGGGCAACGATGGTGCAAGTTCCAAGACTTTGATTGAAAGCATTGAGAGTAAAGTACTTAGATAGGAAGATGGTGAAGTACTCGGTGCCAACTTCTTCGGCGGGATTTTATGTAGAGTTGGTGCGAAGATGGACGAAGGCGTAGGTGGCAACAATTGCTGGAGTGACACAACAAGTTGCAAGCTTGACTGCTGAGTGTGCAACCATGACAGCTACCTTGCAGAAGCGGGAAGAGCAACTTTGTGTGAAGGGGTTGAAGTGCATAGAACCTCGGCAATAGTTAGTCGCTGAGAGTAACCTTTGTACGCAGAAGTAACTTGAGTGCAAGGGCCTTCAGTTTGAAGTTTGCACATTTAAGAAGGCGAAGGAAGAACTTTGGGACGGATTAGAGGAGTATTGGGCAACGTTTCAAAGAAAATTTTAGCGCGCGGAGGAGCAGACAGCGCATCTGGCGGCACGAGAGCGGTTAGCTACCGAATTAGCTCACAAGAGAATTGATCAGCTATCTGCGAGGCTGCCAGATCTTTGGAGATGGAGCGTGAAATAGAGTTGTGTGGTAACGCAGTTTTTTTTTTTTTGGAATTAAAACATTTTTGAATTGTAAGTACCGCGTTAGCGGCTGTAAATAATAAATGGTACGCAAAAATAAATAAAAAAGGGGATCTCGGGTCTAGGGAAATCGAAGGCAGTCTAGGAGTTTTGGGCTTAGGCCACAGTCGGGCGCCTTGGACGGAACAGGCGGTTCAAGCAGAGGGCTTGCTTCAAGCGCCTTCGGCTGAGGAGCCTTCGGCAGAAGTAGAAGGAAGTTCCTTTGGCTCAAGCTCCTCGGAGGAGGCTCTACCGTGGAAGACGTACAAACCATGTATTACGGAACTCCTTCGTCGATGGAAATGACCTCGTCGCTAGACTTTGCCTTCGGCTGTACACTCCTTCGGCTTAAGCGCCTTCAGTCAAGTACCTTCGCCGCGAGCGCCTTTGGCGGTAAACGCCTTTGGCGGTACGCGTACGAAGAGCTACGTCGGCAGAAATCGGCGGGATTAAGTCTAATGTACAAGTGTGGGAGTCCGCGCAACGGCGGAGCGTGAATTCGCGCGTGCGAAACAGACCGTTACGCCTAATCGCCGACATAGCATTCAAGCGGGACGCTGCCAGTTCAAATGTCAAACTATGAGAGTTCTTGATCACGGAGGGAAAGACTCATTCATGCATTTCCAATTTTGCACTTGCTCGAACACGCGACGCGTAGCAGCAGCAGGAGCTCGCAGAGACTTTCAAGAATTTGATGGCCAAGTCTATTCGGCTGCGGATGGTCCACTACGAGTGCCGCAAGTCGGATTGCGAGCGTTCTAGGATGAGCTAATAGGGATGAAGCTGGATTTTCTTTTGTGGGAATGGAATTGGGTGTGCCCTGCGATGGTCCGGGAGTGGCTGCGCGAGAAGGACCAGCCCCCTCGAGGTTATTGACCGCACCCGGAGAGATGGCGAGTGAGTGATTGGGAGCAGGTCTTGGGATGATGTGCGGGAGACGAAGGCGACCTCCTGTTTGAGTGCGAGAGTGTGCATCTCTCGAAGTAAGAAGAGATTTCCTTTGGCGCACTTTTCAAGAATTGCAAGTCGAGCAAGAACGGGTACAGGTGCCGTAACTATGTAGATCGCAAGCATAGGAATGTCGCGGTAGCACTCCACTAGATTTTGCAGCTGCACAGAACCACCTACACGACATATTGGCAGGTGAGATTTGTGGAGCTGGCGTTGGCGGGTACTCCAATTCATTGGGCTCGCATTTTGTGAAAGGCCACACGGCAGCATGTGGGAGAGGAGAAGGGAGGATTGATTAATCACCTATCCCCTTTCTTGATCAATTTTTATTGGTCGATGGGGTGCTTGACAGCAGAGGAGAG